TTCTTCACATTAACAACTTTTGTGGAAATGCCTCCAGTTCTTGGTTTTTCAGACAAATAAACCACTAAATAGCCTGCCAGGGATCTTGCTGATCAGTGGCACATACAAGCTTCAGATATGCTAGTCTGGAGAACAGGAGGCTCAGGGGAGACCTCACTGCACTCTACAACTTCCTGAAAGGAGGTTGTGATGAGGAGGGGGTCAGCCTCTTCTCTCAGGCAACTAACAGGACCCGGGGAAATGGCCACAAGTTGTACCAGAGATTTTGATTAGACATGAGGAAGAACTTTTCCTCTCAGAGAGTGGTCAGGCACTGGAATGGCTGCCCAGGGAGGTGGTGGAGTCGCCGTCCCTGGCAGTGTTCAAGAGGTGTCTGGATGAGGAGCTGTGAGATATGGGTTAATGCTTGTGGTAGCAAAGGTGATGGGAGACTAGATGAGCTTGTAGGCCCTTTCCAACCTTGTGATTCTATGATTTTATGAAAAAAATAGCATTTTTCTTTCCTTCGTGCTTCGTTAAACTTGTGCATTAACTGAGAGAAAAGACCAGATAACATTGGACAGAATGGCCACTTTTTGGTGGATGTTTGTGAGTTCAGACAGGCAGGCAGTGGAAAGAGCCATACCAACAAACGTACAGAGCAGAGCGGACATTTATCAATACACTGTATGCTGTGGAAAGCTTTTTTTTTTTTCCCCAGAGTAAAGCTGTAAACACACAGAACAGAAAATGTGGGGTTCAGTTTCTGTACCGAGCAGCTATGCAATAGCCACATGGAGAAAGATTCACCTCAGTGAATTGCAATCCATCCAGAAGAAGGCATTTGCTATGGTCTATGCTTTTTCTCTGGAGGAGGAGGAGAGATTGAGCACCACTGGTAGTCGCTTCTTTCTCATCACTGGGGTGTGGAATTCACCTCCAGATGCTTTGTCCTCTGCCTCCAGGCTGCCTCCCTTTGTCCCAAATGAAACAGAGTCCATATGAAGTTAAAAAGTGAAATGGAAAAAAAAAAATCCTACCAAAAACAGTAAGTTCCATTTTTTTTCCTCTCAAAAAAGTCAGTGTTGAGGTCGCTATGTGAAGTTGCTTGAGATTGTGTTATTGTTATATGTTCTTACAGCAGACTTGGAACTGACTGTTACAGTGTCTGGGAATCCACAGAAACACCAGGAACTAAAAAATAGGTATGAATATAGCAGAGAAACTGCAGCTGAAATAAATAAAGAAACAAACACAAAAGCCAAGAATGAAGAGTCAGAAAACAAAGCCTAAGCACATTAAGCAGATGATATATTTAGAAATAAAAGCATTAGATACTTTTAACCGGAGCATGAAAATGGCACTACTTAAAATGTAACCATTAATACTGCAATTTTAATGATTTTTCAATTAATCTAATTTATCTGGTCCTATTCCAAAAGCTACTGAATGGTTTGGGGAGGGGTTAGCTTGAAAGTACAGAACAGTGTTTAAATTACAATCATTCTTCAAGTAACGCATGGAATTAACAAGGTCCTAATTAACAAGCCTAGCTTGTGACTACTGGCCATCCTAAGGGTAACCCTGATATTATGATGAAATGCTATTAGATCACCACTAAAAAACTTGCTTTAATAGTGTATCAGTATCTCACTTCTCTGGAAAGAAATGGACTATAGTAGACACAGCAGCAGTAATCCTCATTACATATAATACAAGTTTTACATTCTAAAATTTGTATTTCAGAATACTCACTTCAGCTTTCAGATCATATACCTGTATTTGCAAGACCTGTTATGCAATATGCAGACATTGTTTTCATGGCTACACAATGCACCATGCCTTTAAGACTTACAGTAAACAGTAAAGAACTCAGTATGTGCATACTGATGAGACAGTTTTGTTAGTTTATTCCCATGCCAAATGTATTTGATATGACTGAAATGAAATTTATCAGAGTCCAAAAGGATATGAAACCAAGCCTCCATAGTTCAAGGTATAATGCTGGAAACTACTGCACACAGAAAAAGCAATTTATGGAGTTGGTTTTAGATAAAACTCACTAATGCATTTCTCACGCAACCTGCGTATCTGTCACTTTGCTGTCCTTTTTCTTGATCAGATTTTATGTGCATTATGAGATATAAAATCTTCACTGAAGAACATTTTCTCCTATGGAAGATGAAAGGTTCTATCCCACATCACAGTCTACAGGTTAGACTGGATGACCCAGACGTTTTCTCCCAGTTAAATACTCCTGCAGAACACTGCTGTAACAGGAAGAGCTCAATGCAACAGCTAACCAGAACAGAGGGCATCAGCAAAGGCTCAGACATTTCTCTGCTGAGAAAACAGCATTTCCCCACAGGTTGTACAGCAAACACACAGGCTACTACTGGAGTAAATCAAATATTTGAACAAGCAGCGAGTGATGCATTTCATTCATGCCTGAAAGGAAGCACAGTGAATAAGAATTATACAGTGCCACCATGAAGTTGCCCTTAAGGGACACAAAACAGTTTGTTCTGAATAGCATAGCATCAGCAAATACAAGAACGATTTTTTTTTCCCCTGGAGGGGGAGGAACCATAGACAATTTTCCCAGAATCACAAAAAAAAAAAAAGATTACAAAACACAAAATGAAAGAGTAGGTCTAGATTTTTCTGTAGAAGAATCCTTTTTAGTTCACTTTTAAAAGAACAAAAATTCAAACACATGCATTTTGTTTTTAGTTACAGACTGATGTTCCAGTCATTCTGAGGCTGTGAAAAAGGAGAGATAAGGAGTTCAAATAATGCAAAATAAATAGCGATTCCCAAGGATGTCTTATGTTCATCACTACAGCGTGAGAGTGGCTAATCGCATAACAGAGCTTGTCTACAAAGAGCTCTTCAAGAAACATTGAGATTGTTTAAGTGCATGAATTCTTCTGATTAGAAGCAGGAAAGGCTAGGTTCTTATGTAAACTCTGCCAGAGCCAAGAGCAGGAACAGCAGCTGACTTTGTTTTTTAATGAACATTTAGAACATTCCTATTGACCGCAGGTTACAGTTCTGGAAAAAAGGAATTATGAGGAAAAAGCGATTTTGTCTGATGAAAAGGGGGAAAAGCATCCCTGGATATCAACTCAACAATCTAAGAAGTCTGCTTTGAACTAGTTTAGAAGGGCGTAGTGACAAAAGCCCATATGGAAGTAAAAAAAAAAAAAAAAAAGCAAAAATCTACAGATCAAGCGAAAGATTGGAATTTGTACTTTGGAGATCAGAAATCCTATGACAGACTAAGAGCAGCAGGATACCAGGCTAAACTTTGAGAGGCTATGTGTAAGGAGAAGGAGAACACAGACAGATGAATCTGAATGTTTCACTCCTGCCAATTAGGTTAATGTCTAGATCATTTCAGGTATCAGTACCTGACTGTAGATCCCAGTCTGGGAGATGGTAACCAAGAGCTGAAGTCCCACAGCTGCCCTCAGAGCTCTTTTACAGTGTTTGTGACACACTCATCCTCCAGCCTGTGAGGAATTATATATAGTTTTCTCAGCAGAAGCAACTCAACTATTTCTTGCTCATACACTCATCCTTACTCATTTTACCTTGTGGACTACCTCCTGTAAAACACACCCCACACAGGCACACATAGGTCATGCCCTCCTACAACAACATTCTGTCTGCAGCCTGCTTCTAACCCACAAGTCAGAAGAAGCTCATGACTAAAAGAACTCAGTCCTTCAGATCGTACAAAGGGGGATATGCAAACCAGGAGGCAGTAGGCTGAGCAATTCCACGCTGGTATTTTACCCGTAGCATTACTGGAAGACACTGACAACATAGTGATTTACTTCACCTCACACTTCTGTTGAGCAGAAATTTTGGAGGAGGGACACCAGCAAGTCCCTGGTTGACAGTATTTGTGCTGGAATTTCAGCTTCAGAAGTGTCCAGCATCTACAGACTGAATTCCAGAACTTGGTCAACTTGTCACCCTGCTCATGATCAAGACAAGTTCAAAGAAGTGATCCCTGGAAAGAGAAAGTTGCTTTGCATCACACAAACCTACTGCAGCATGATAATATAATGTGCAGGATCTCTGTGTTACATTACATGATGAGACTATGAGCCCATTGTGGACTCAAATGACAGAACACTATATTGAAGCACAATTTGACAGAACTATGTCCTTGCACTGATGAAACTCAAGTGCATGCTCCTTTGATCTGGTTTCACTTTCTGCTAAGGAAGAAAGTTGTCACAGCCCAAAACAAAGCCCAAGTGCACAGCAACATAAAAGCAGCACAGATGATCAGGAAATCAGCCCTGAAGTACAAATCTTAGATCCCATCATCTTGATCATACACTTGTATTTAAAGGTATTTGGTGGAACAAGACCAGGCAGGATACAAATTTATTTAAGAACAATCAAGGAAAAGGAACCCTGAAATATAAATCTCTGTGAAGTTTAAGATCAGTTTTGATGACTGTCTTTACATGCAGGTGGAAAGAAAAAGACCAGAAGTAGAATCATGGCCTGGATCCAGCCACTGTTGCCTGTTCTTGAGAGGGACATAGATTATATTGTCTTGAGAATCTATGAAGACAGAGGTATGAGCGTGGAAATTAAATTAACTGAGCAGACACTGGAAAAGCAACGTGTAAGGCAGTGAAAGATTTAAGAATGTGCTCAACATCAATGCTGATGGTGAAGAAAAATATCAGAAAGCTGATTTTCGTGTGACTTCATGAAGCTTTATCTTCTTTAATAGGGAAGATTAATGTATCTTACACTGGGCTTTCACTCTCAGATTTGAAGGCTCAAAGCACGTTCTAGATCCCTGACTGGTGTGCAGCTTTTTGATGACCCCTATGATGAAATAGATTTAACAGACAAACTTGCAAAATATTTATACTAAGTATGAATATTTGTGCTCAGAGAAATGGATAAAATAGAAAATCCAGTTTATACAACATAGAAAACATTCTGGCTATGTCATGCATTAATAATATTTTAAATTAAATATTTACCCAGATCCTTAATGAGTGATAATGCTTCCCATGATATAAATGCTCCGCCGCCGTCATCCATAGCTCCCTGCCCAACATCCCAGCTGTCCAGATGTCCACTGACCAACACAATCTGGAAAAGCAATTATGAAAAAACATATCTATATGAAAATGGCAAATGAGAAAAGTCAGTTCAGCATTTAAGCTTTTTAATGATTTTGTCATAAAGTTGACTTCTGAGTTCAAAACAGGAGGAGAAAAACATTTCATATAAAACAAAACCATTGTCCTCTTTCGCTGGGCATAAATCTGGGATGGCCAAATGCATCCTACTGCTTCACAAACCACTGCTATATCAAATAGATACACAGTAAGGAAAATTTAAATGAAAAATTCTGTCTTGAACATTAAGTGCATGCTTCCCAGAGATACAAGGCTACCACACTGCAGAATGGGAAAAAATTCTTTCACATTCTAGTTGTGAACCGTTTAAGCCCTTAGGTATGAAACTTGATTAACCCAATTTTTGGCTGCATAAGTAAGAAATATGAACTTGGACTGAAGTATTTCCAGACAGAGGTTGTTGTTTTATTGCTATTATCTATGGCTCCTACCACAGAGGACTTCTAATTTATTACTGAGTCCCTTATGTGCTGCAACAATGACAAGGTATTTTATAGTTCTGTTAGTCATAAGGTTATTTTAAATTAAAAACTACATGGCAGCAAATCCCAGATGGTTTTTCTGCAAAGAGAGCTTTGTGGCTACAGTAGATGATAGCATTACACATTTCTCCCGAAACACTCCCTTTTAGACCTGAGCTCTCTGAAACATTGATAAACAGCATCACATCAATACTGGAAATGAGACAGCTCCCTAGCGGGGCCTGGAATTCCAGGGTGATGGATCTGTGATTGGAATGGGGAGGTCAAGGAGGGAGATCTGCTTGATCTGAGCAGACAGCACGTGAAGTGAGGTAAAATGATGCTATGGGACAAAAACAAGAGCACAGAGGAAAAACTGAAGGAGACCCTGAAGCACCCAGCTGTGTCCTACCCAGAACTGGCCATATGTGAAGGGATGCTTTCAACTCCTTGGTCTGCTGATGTCAATCAGATCTCAAAATTCCAGTATCAAGAAGATGGTGAACAACACTTGCTGCTCCTGCCACCTTTCACTCTCTAAAGAGTTATGGGGTAAGGATCTCCTGGCATTTCACTTTGCTTTCATTCATCACAGGACAAGCACTTTAGCACAGAAAATGAAACCAGTTTTTCCTATTATCCTTCCTGGAAGGTGAGAGCCTATGGTGCCAGTGCGCAGCTAACCTTGCAAGGAACTAACTGCTCTCCTCTTCACAAGAGAAAAATCTTAAGAAGCATTCACTAGTTACTAAAAATAATGCATAGCAAATAATGCACTGCAAGACAAAAGTGTCACATGTTCATCAAATCAATGCATTTTTTCATCCAACCAGATAGAAACTCAGGTAACACAGCTAAAAAGCCCCTCTGCATTTAGCAAAAGCTGTGATAAATTACTAGTCACATTTATTGCATTGACATGGGTCCAATCAGAGTGCATTTAGAAAATGCATCATATGTTTATAAACATATGTAGCATTAAAAAAAAAGTTATGCTTTAGAAACTGGAAAATCTTGCAATTAAAATCTAAAGAGCAGCTTACTCTTTCCTTCTCAGATGTTTCAGCTCCCTTTTGTGCTTATACAGCCTGAACATGTGTTTGCTTTGCAATCCATAGCGGTGGTAGACAGACAGGCTGCAGCCTTTATTCCTAAACCTCCCCTCCTTCAAAGATGAATTTTGACTGCAGGATCCTCTGCAGAAGCCTCAGATTTACTCAGGAGGTATTCCTGCAGGGTAGCATTGTGATCCTCCCAGGCTGTTTGTGAAAGCTGGTAAACAGCACTGCTCTCAGGGACACTTCTCTGCAGATGTTCTCGCTCTGTAGCTGGTCTCTGCTACAATAGCAACGTAGCTTGAAACCAGATAATCTAAGAAAAGCCATGAGGAAGAAATCTTTCTGAAATGAAAGCAAAACAGATGCGATCACTGCATCACTCATTTTCTTGTTAGGATTGTTAGGACACGCATGCATTTGCACTGGGATAAACCATGCTTTGAGAGCTTGTGACGCATGGGCAGCCCTTCTGCTACGTATGCATGGAGGACAGACAGCTCTCAAAGAACACCATAAATATAAAAAAAAAAAGGGGTGGGGGGGGGGGGGGGGGGGGGGGGAGGGGGGAGGAATAGAAAAGACTTTGAGTGAGAACAACTGCTGTATAATGGATAAATGTCTACTCCCAACATGAATGTTGTCGCAATATGGTTTATTTATTTTGAGTAAAAATTGGTTTTAAAAAGATAACTGCTCACTCTCCTGGGAAATGCAACTTCAAACTGAACTATTTAAATCAAGTGCATAAACTCATTGAGAAACAAGTTTACAAAAGAAACAATGCCGTGACTTCAGCTGGGAAAGAAGACGGCACTAATGCTGTTCCCTGGCAACAACCTCAATGTGAGTGTCTGACAGGGAGTTGCTTCTCATTTCTGTGAAACAACATGCATTGCAACAGCAGGAAATTCTGAATCAGAAGGTGGTGTAATCCCACTTGGGATTAGACTCCAATCGCAAAGCATCTTTACCAACTGCAGAACATTATACCAAAACAGATCAAGGTTCAAGCAGACTGAGAAATGCAGATAATTTTATGGATGAACTTTTACTTAAACTTACTTCGGTAGATGCCAAAGGCAATTACATAAAGGCAACCAGCGTACTTCTATGTGAAAGTTTTTGCAGGGCTGTTGTTTTTTTTAAACTATTACGTTTCTGCAGCATCTGCTCAAAGGAGTTTCAATGATTCCACTGATATCTGTGTCTCAAAGTAAGACACGGTCAGAAAACAGCAAAAACACACTGGCACTAAGTTCGTCTTGGTCTCTCAATACATAAAATGTGTCTGGGGCAATGATTGAAATTCACTCTAAGCCATTATATTATTTAAAATAATATTATAATTCTATTCTATTCTAATTCTTTATACAAGTGGGATAATTAAAAGAGACATTTAAAGCTAAAAAGGAGGTCTGTATTTTTCACATTGCTTTCAAATATGTTAGTGGCTCTCCCCTCCAAAATTGCATGCAGGCTAATGACTTACATTTGCACAAAACATCCATATAGAAGTGTAAGCACATGCCAAAAGAATGTAATCGCTGCAAAACAACGTAAGTATATGTAAGTATTTGCTTTAAATATACAGAGAAACCACAAAGCGTTTGTATAAGACAGCCTAAATACAGCAATATGTATTTGCCAAATCAACTAAATACACATTTAGGATAAGATAGCTTGCATGTCACATGACAACTCCAGACTTGGCAATGACACAGCTAAGAAAATACTGCCCTAGTCACAGTCCCGATACAATACACGAGAAATGACACTTCAGGTAGCGTTTCAAATAGAAGTTGAGTTATCCTATTTCCTTATGCAACAACATTATGACTATTGGATGTTTATAAATCAAACCCAGCACTTCAATCAAGCATACTGAAATATTTTGAATGTTACAGTATATCTTAAATATTTATATAACTCTATATTTTTATACTTTACATTTTTAAAACAAGACCAGGAAGAGGAACCACCCATACTTTTACATAAGCCACAGAGTTATCTTTTTCTAAGCGTGACTTTTTTTGCCACTAAAAATAACCAGACATTCCATATGTATTCACACATGCTTACTCAATCTGTCACATAATAACTCCATCAAATGTAGGTGAACTACCTTCTGCTTGGTTGGAGAGAGTTTTAGAAGTCTATTACGTTTACAGTTAGTCTCTGTAATGTCACTTGTACCTCTACAGGTTTGAAGCAAAGGCTTCTTTCTATGCAACATTAAAGATGATAAATGATAAATGTTAGGAAACAGTTTCATTCCCAGAATCCAATCTAGAAAAATATTTGCACCGAGCTGTGAAAACTAGCGTGCAATGTTATTTCATGCCACTGTGGTAGATGGAAATGGGAGAGTAAGAAGCTCATCATTCATCTTTGCCGTTCGTGGGTGAAGAAGATTTCATGCCTAAACTTCAAGCTAAAACAGTGAAGAGCTCCAGACTCAAATTCTTTTCAACTGCTTGTCTATATTTTCAACCAAATACAGCCACCATTCAGTCATTTGCTCAGGCAACACAGACCTATGGTGTTCCAACCCAGTTGATGAATTACCTGGAAATTTGTGGAAAGTATTTCTATTGAAATTTTTGTGGTTCTTTCTTCATCAGTGTGATTCTAAATAAGTCCATCTTTAGCTCATGGTACCATAATAGGGTCTTATGTTATTTGACTGGATATTCTGTCTTCAAGAATCTCCTCCTTTCAGTGCATGAGGTATTTGTACAATACACAGTTTATACATATGAACACCACTCATGGTAGATCTGTGTTTGGACGAAAATTAGAAGACAGAAATTAGATAATAATTAGGGTCCCAAATCCAATGCAATCCAATCCAGAAAATGCCTAAAATTCTCTCCTATCCCAGACATTCATTACTCTTTACACACACATACTCTCACTTCATCATTTTTTATTTTCCCCAGACCAAAACAAAATTTCAGACACTAAGTAAATCACCACTTAAAAACTCTTAATCCTAACTTCTCAAACAGAGGAACCCACTATATAATACAATCTCTTACTCATAAGCATAGGGAGTACATTTTGAGTAATCTACCCAATTGGACAGCATAACGACCACGAACTGCCAGATGGCTTCAGTTTATAAGAATCTGAAGATTTTCTTCATTTCACTGTGTTAACAGCATAAGAGCAAGGGAAAAGAGGAAGACAGCACATCACATACCTAACTAGCAGACAAATAAATCAGTTGGCTGGACTAAATGTAAGCCCATCATGGTTAACTCACCTTCAAAACTATCAAACAAAGTCCAATGAATAACAATTTGCAAATTAATATACTATATCTGGCATGGCTCTCAGGCCTAGAATTTATTAGCATCACCTGCAGTAGTGCTGGCAACTACTTTCTAGAAAATGGCAACACCACGCAGTATGCTTTTCCACTGCTTACC